TTGAAAACATGCAGATTATTGTGTTGGCAGCGTCACAAAAAGGGTCATCGCTTGAATCCTTTGTATAAATATACAAAGAATCTTGTGTAAAAAAAAATCCCAAATACAAACAGTAATACAGCTCATGTGCAAATTCAACTATGAGACTGTATTTCTAAACCATAAAACTTCCAGATTATTCATATTTCTGAATGTCTGAACAGAGACATTTATTCTTCAAAGGCTGCTCACCTTTTACTGAACAGTCTCTGGCTCCTGAGACGAGTCTGTCCCCGTGGTCGTCCAGGCAGTTGACGGTGCCACTGTGACCATACAGCACCATCACACACCTTTCTGTCTTCACATCCCAACACCTACACAGAACAAATAAACACCCACCCCATCAATTCAACTTCAGTCACAAAGAGGAACGTTTCATCATTGTCAGTAATGAGCGTCCGTCTCCTCCTCACCTGATACTCGAGTCGCAGCTGGCAGTTATCAGCAGGTCTCTGTCCTTACAGTGCAGCACGGCCCGGATGCCGCCAACATGGCCCTTCATCACGGACACAACTTTTGTTTCTGATGCCATGTAAAGCAGACGCACCGCCCGGTCCTTGGAGCTCATTGCCATGAATGATCCACCTCTGTAGTCCACCACTCGACGTTGGTCTTCTCTGTCAAACCCCAACAAATACGTTTTTTATTCCAGCTTGCGGGGTTTAGTTAGGCAGTCTTAACAATAAAGAAAACTGAACGCACTAACTTGTCCAGCAGCACCGTGGTGAAATATGCACCACAGTAAACATTTCGCTCTTCCATTTGCACCATCTTAGTTTCGATTTTGGCATAAGCAGCTTCAAATGGACTGACCTGTGAAATAAAGGTCAAAAAGAAAAAATCAACATACTGACTAATGTATTTCTGGTACAAAAACTGAAGTTCTTAGAACTCTGGTGTTGATAGTTGACCTGTTGGACACTGGGATGAATATCAACTTTGTCATCATCCTTGACAGGCACGGGGACTTCAATGATGTTGGCGTAAGTCGGACTGACCATATTAATACCTTTACACCTCTAGAACAGAAAAAAACTTTACTGTCATTCGATTTCATCCTTAAAAACTACAACTTTACACACTTTTGAATCCTGTAAATATACAAACACTCCACCTTCATCATAGCCGTAACTTGATCCTGAAAATGTCTTCTGAACTTCATTTCCTCCTCGGTTTCTTGTGCAAGGTGTTGCCAGTATAGACAAACCCTCTGGCAGCGTTTCAAAGTGTGCTCGTCTAACAGACCTGGCAGAAGACACAGTACAGTATAACATCTGCATGTATACAATATTACTAACAGTAAGAGTTAAGACAAAAAAAAGCGATATGTATATGTATTATCTGTCATCATTTAGCCTGGTCACCATTTATACATCATACAATGGCGTGCTCAAAATTTTGTTAGACCTCACTTGAAAACACTTTGCTATCTTCTTATAGTCTTCTCCTGCTTTGTGGGCTTCAGTTATTTTGGTTTTCAGAGTGCTAGGCAGCTTTTTCGAGGAGCCCATGGCTGCTGATTGTGGGACAAGGTCTAAGGAGTCAGAGTATTTATAAAGCTTTGAAATTTGCATTTGCATTTGAAATTTGCTTTCGTAATGATGACTGTGAACAATCCAGAGCCCTAACAAGCTAATTATGGTCTGAGACCCTGGCAAAAGTTAAGCTGACGTGTCTTGAGGTGCCCAAGCTTTTACATGGTGCTCTTGTTCTTTTTTCCACTCATAAAATGTACAACACAAAAATGATACTGTAATCTTGTCTATAATGTTGAAAAGCATAATTTATCTTTAGCTTAGTGCTTTTTGGAGTTCACACCAATGCAACTAGATGAGACGGTGTATCTTCTCTATGCAACAACTCTGTACTTCCGTTCTGATTTGCAGCTTTTCAGGTTTATTTGTGGCTGAATATAATTTGTAACCTCTTGAAATATGAATGAGGATAGTGATAGTGAGATATTGGCTACAGCTGCATTTGTAGTAGTGGTGAAACGGTAGAAAACGTATAACAAGCATCAGATGGACTATATTCATGATAAATATCCCACGATAACAAAGAACCAGCACCAATTAATCAGTCAATGAGACAGGGACGGAGCACCTGCCGCAATAAGGGAAAATGCCATCTGAGGTCATTTTGACTTGACCAGGGATTTCACAACAAGTTGATTGGCTGTTGATGAGCTTTACTTTCTTTGACCAGCGGAGTTGCAGGTGACACCATCAGCTGGCTTGAGTCGAGCTCAGACGGCCAGTTCACACCGCTGCAACTTTCCTCTGCAACGTTCTTGAACGGTTTTGTCTCATCGTGAATCTTTGGTCTGAACTGGGCTTAAAGGAAGAAAACATTTACCAGGAACAAGCCTTCTCGAGTTAATGGGAGACTCGTTGGTACCTATAGAACCCATGCAGAAATCTTAACTTGAAAGTTCAAGGGATCGCTTTGAAAATGGTCATGCTAGTTGTTCTCTCGCCAAAATTTAGCCTAAATTTGGAGTGTTACTTCCCAGCAAGCTATGGCAAAATGGTTTCTACCACTGGTGGTCTTAGGTTGCCTATTTTCACAAGACACCACTGTCTTTGCTGGCTTAAAAAAGGAGGGCACCACAGCCTCTTAAAGACTGTAATGTCAGCCTCCAATTATTTTTACCAGCAGGGGTCAGTGGGTGGCCACTTCATTCAGGGCTAACTACTTGAATGAAGTGGATTTAACGAGAGCATTCTTGAGTAATTAAGTTGCATCCCCATAGTACCATTAGACTGGCTCCGTTTATTTCTCAGTGTAAGTACACATCAATGATCACTTCAGACTGAACATGAAGGCAGTGAAAAGTCGACTCCACTTCTGTAACCGAACATTATCAAATTAATGTGCAGTGTGTATAATATTTTATGTCGCATACAAATAACATGATAGCAAACATAAATACTAATTGAAATGTATAACGAATACAAATCTGGCATGTGTCTCTGTTGACAGTATCAAAAGTACTGCATCTCATTTCAGTAGTGTTCCCTGTGTAGATGACTTACCTAATATCCTCTTTGACAGATCGACAGGCAGGCAGCTGATGAAGTCTCTGTATCTACTGACTCCAGAAACAGACTTTGAGGACCCCGGGACCACCATGAGAGCAGGGTCCTCTGAGTCTCCATCACTGTCCTCATCACGCTGACAGGTACTGCGACCACTCACTGAAAATTATATGAGATTGTTATATGGTGATGATGATTATTATTATTCAACATAAACAATGCAAAGTGTCACTGAGCAAAGATCTTGTTGGATTAGATTGATAGCCACTGTGCAGCTATATCTGTGTCCTTTGTCGACATCTAGTGGTGCTCAGTGGGAACTGCAGTGGAAGAGTCTCCTGCAGAAAATACATAAATAAAAGGTGTTTTCTTTTTACCGTTAAACTGCAGAAAGCCTCCTTTCTGTCTGACCAGCAGCACACTGGTTAAATTAGCCACCATGCGCAACAGCTCCGGATCACAGAGTGAGAAGAGACGGCACAGATAATGAAACTGGGTCCAGTCCGGGCTGCTGTTGAACCAGTCCCAGATCTGATTCAGGTCCATGCCGTGTGGTTTCCCGTCCATCCCCCGGCAGCGGTGACCCTGAGGTGCAGCCGGGCTCCTTGACCTGGCGTAGTTGAATAAACTCCATGAGGTGACACCCAGCACCCTCTGGATGTTCTCCAGCACTTTAACGTCTCTGCACCGTAACAGCAGCTCCACCATGAACCTCCTCCTCAATCCATCCGACACCCTCCACACACACGGAGCGGAGCCCGGTGGTTTGGGGGCGAACACGCAGGACGGACACATCCCGCACATGTGTGCACATCCCTCCGCTGTTTGACGGTCCAGCTCGCACGCGGACACACTTCTACCAAATGTAACCGACTTCATTTCGACGCCAAAAGTAGTTTGTGGTGCTCGCTGCCGGCCGCGTCGTTGCCAGGCAACCGTTGTTACTTTTTCTCCCTAAACAACAGCGACAAACATCATTCAGCAGGTTGCCAGGCAACAAGGAATGGATGCCACCAAGGCAAAATAGCCGAGCTAGCTGTCAAGCTAATGCACCCCTGGTACTCAGCTTCAGTGTCCAGGCTGTGAAGTTTGTGTGATAACTTTGCAATAATTTTCTAGGATATGTAGTTATCTGTGTCTGTTTCATCACGACACAACCCAGACTTCCCTCAATTAAATTGTGCACAAAAGTAAATTTAATATCAGATTAGACTTTCTTGATTCCTACACGGGAAATGTGTGTTGCAGCAGCACAAAGAGAAATGAGTACAGATAAACAGGGAAAGTAAAAAATAAATAAATAATAAGAGGTACATATAAGGTGTCTACAAGTCCTTCAAAAGTCTCAAAATGCCTTAAATTAGTTTTTCTTAATAGGAGGCCTCAAAAAGTCTATTTGCATTGTTTATATTTTGATATTTTGAACGTCACTATGAGTTAGTTCTTATATTTTGCACCCTACTGTTTTTAATAATGTAGTTTGTATTTAGTTTTATATCACCTATATATTGTTTTGTTTTTGTTTTTTGGTAATATTTCAGTACTTGTACATTGCATGCTTGTCTCTTATCATGAGGAATGTTAGTGTACCCAAGAAAACGACACGTGCGCCGCCCGGGAATCGAACCCGGGTCGCAAGAATGGGAATCTTGCATGATACCACTACACCAGCGGCGCCGTTGATGGTTGGGCACCCGACAACCAATACATCGTTGGTCAATGTTCGTGAGAGGTTGTTTTTAGTACAGTAGGGTTGGTGTTATGTGTTTAAATATTGCTTGTTGGACTTACTGGTAAAGTACGGTGAATCCGTGCGATAGTAGATAAACCTCAACAAGCCATTTTACACAACGCTAACACTTTTATTTTGAAAAATAACGGAAATTTAGACGTTTATGTTGAAAGGGGGATGTATGAACTTCCGGGGGAAAGCGTCTTCCGTCACGGATAGTTTTGTTTCTAGTTCGTTACCATGTTAGCTAACTGTTAAAACCGGTTTTAACGGCAGCTAGTTAGCAAAACATTGTGAGGAATATATCCGCTGTGACTCGAGTAAGTACAAAGATTAATATATGTTAATGTAGAGAGTTATAACTGGGGATACGTTATTCTGTGTGACATGATCCTGCTGTGTTAGCCACTTAGCAGCTACTAACTATAGCTATGCTAATGCTGTGGTATTAGCCATGACTTGACAGCACTATGTCCACTGAATATTATAATTTTCCGTCTGTGTCAAATCTAATGTTAGCCAGCTAATTTGTGTGCAAGCTAGGCTAGCGTGCTAACGTAACCTGCCCATGTGTTGCTTCAGCATGTAGCATGTGTACGTGTTAGCATCTGTGATAAAGCTTTATAGTTTCCATCACCTCTCCACAGAGAGTGCACTCATGTCGGGTAGGAGCAGCGGTGTGGAGTGGGTTGAGACAACCGAGGAGGTTGTTATAACAGAGGAGTGTCTTCCCTCTGAAGACAGCACCCCTGCAGGTGTGAGAGGTTTGATTGTTTGACATTTAAACTGGTTATAGGAGTTGGTTTTATATGTTTCTATCATAGTGTATTTGTTGTTTTAGTGATACCTATCTTAGAGCCAGCAGAAACGCCAATCCAGAAGTTACTGGACACTGTGGGACATGGAGACAACCCAGAGGCTGATGGTGGCTTTTGTAAGCAAGAGACACTCTTTCTTCTGTTTTTTATCACAGCGCCCTTGTGTTTAATGAAGAGTTTCCACATTATCTACAGACTCAAACTAAAGAATGAAAATTAATGGAATATGCCTGAGTATGGCATTGTTGTTGTTTTATTCCTCCTACTAATATTTATCCTCCTCTTATGACTGGAAGAACAGATTTCCATACACACCTATGCAGTGTTTCACTTTATTGATGCTCTGATGAAGGTCTCATAGACAGAAAGCTCAACAATAAAGTGAAACATTACATAGATTTAAATGTGTGGAAGTCTTGTCTACCAGTTTGGACTCATTGAAGTTTCCAGCACCTTGCCAATACTAAGCTGGGTAGAGCGGTGGTTGTGCTGCACCCTTTTCTTATGACTAAACTTTCCCTTCTATTAAAGGTCCAGTATGTAGGATTTAGGGGGATATATATGTGATAAATCCCCCTAAATCCTACACACTGTTCCTGAAATTTTATACTAAAATAAGGAGACATGTCATTTAAACACATCGCTGTGACAGTAGAATAAGTGTTTAAACTGACTTAATCTGAAATTCATAGAAGCCCGTACAGTCCACAGGTTTTTTATTACAAACAGGTGCCGTAGTTAAAGGTCTTATTGTAAATGGAATATTACATTTAAATATGCCATATCTTAATGTGTTAAATAATAACTGAATTTATATTGACAAGCATAAACTTTAATTCCTGTGCTCTTCTGTTTTCCAGATTGTGAGGAGTGTCTGACTCTCTTCCAGGACCAGAATGACCCCACCAACATTAACGGCCCGTCTTTTATCCTCAACTTTCCAACGAGTACGGGTCTCCCCCAGAGGGCTCTCCTCACTCTGCCCTACGGCCTGATGATAGGCAGATCCAGTATTCCCAGTGCAGGCGTTGGGGTCATAAACTACGGCCCGATAGTGTCTCCAGGGATGCATTTTGGACCATATGAGGGGGAAGTGACAACAAGGGAAAACGCCATGGAAAGTGACTTCTCCTGGGAGGTGAGCTTGGATTTGGTTTGTCTCTGGAAATACCTCTTATTGGGTTTGTTGTTACATAAATACTCTCATTTTCTGCAGATTTACAAAGAAAAAGATGAGTATGAGTACATTGACGGTGCCAGAGAATCGCACTCAAACTGGATGAGGTAAAGTATTGAATTCTACCATAGTGGATGTGTCTGTCTTCTTCTGTTTCAGTCTCATTCAAATTGAGTGTTCTTCCAATTTGGCATTGCACGTTTATAATATTGTCAAACGTGCGATGGACAGCTTATAAAGAGTATCAAACTCAGTGCAGAAAGAGGGATGTCATCTCTTTTTTTTCTAAGCATTCAGGTGCCTACATTACCCACACTGCAACTCAACCGCCAGCAGTGTTCTAGCACCAGCTAATGTATGAATGTCATTGTTGTGGTCTGGCTTTGTTTGTTGTTCTTAGTTAACCCCATGATATCTGCCTTCACACTGCAGATGATGGTGCATCTAAAAATCAGTCCATGTTTATATTCCCCTCTCTTCTTACACAGGTACATAAACTGTGCTCGTAACAAAGACGAGGCGAACCTGCTGGTGGTCCAATACAAAGGTAGCATCCTTTTCCATTGCTGTCGCAGCATCCACCCTGGAGACGAGCTCATGGTTTGGCCCAGCAGCAAACTTCTCGACCATTTTAGTGAAGCTTGGACCCAGGTGTGGATTATGAAGCTGAATGCAACAGGTACTGTCTACAACCTAAGTGTCACTTTGTAGTTCAGGGTTCCCACACTCATAAAATCCCTGGCACTGTTATGAAAGTTAAATAAACTGTTTTCCAGGTCTGCGGTGGGTTTGGAATTAACAGAATGTTTTTGGGAAAGTTTTGAATATGCATAGTTTTGGTTATTGTCTAGAATACGTTTATCAAAATGCTAAAACACGTCTTCAGTGGCGCAAAATACATTCCTTGTATTACTGATTTAATGTAGTGCTGTGCTGCATGCCTGTTGAAACATCACTAGTATCATGTGATACATAGACCAGACCAGCACTGCATTATTGCCAAGGCCACACCCCCTTTTGGGCGACAGAAACTGTCACACACAGAGAGAAACAGGAAAATGTAGTGTAGCAGGTTAACCAAGGCTTTTGCACTGAGATTTGAGGCACATAAGATGCGTGACCATTCAATGTCAGTGTGATTAATCTTTAAATGATGCTTGATAGCTGCTTAAGTTGGAGGCTGCTGCAGTACAGACAGTACAGCAGCATCATGCAAAAAACACATCGAGCAGTGGCAAAATGCAGCCTGCGGCGAGCTGGCATGCAGCACCCATGGAAAGCAGCAGTGGCAGCTCCAAGCTGTGATCATTTGATTCTAATCATTTGATTGAATATGTTGAATAATGTATGGCTGGTTTAAACTACTTAAAGTCATAAAAATGGGGTTAAATATTAGGAAAAAAAAAGAAAATTCATAGGTAAAAAAGTGTGGGAATCCTGGTAGTTATTCTCTATTGACTCTGTGACAGTGCAAGATTATTTTTTAAATCTGGTCATTTTATGTTGACATTTTTTTTCTCCTCTTCTAAATTGCAGAGAGTAAAGCAACTGCAGCGTCTCAGATCTTCCTGTGCTCCCACTGTCAGCTGTCCTTTACCACAGAGTCCTTCCTGCAGCGTCACACAGAATGCTTCCACATCCAGCCTGAAGGCGACGGCACAACACCAGCTGCTGAGACAGCTGAACCTGAAAATCCTCCTTCCAGTGCTGACTCAGGTGACCCTGCAGCATCCCTGGTGGTGTTAACCGTTGATCCCGTCGAGTCCAAAACATGTGGTGATTGCGGGAAGACTTTCAAGCAAATACCTCACCTCAGGAGGCACAAGCTTTGCGTCCACTCAAACAGACGTCCCTACTGCTGCCCACACTGCAGGAGAAGTTTTAGCCAGGCGTCTGGATTAATCAGACATCAGCTAGTTCACAGAAAGCAAGCTGCGATGAAAGAGACAAACAGTGTTTCTAATCAGAACAAAGACATCAGTGAGAAGGAGGAGAGCCTGACACAGATATCTGAACTTTTAAACATGGCAGATCCAGCTGTTACTGAGGAAACAAAGGACACGACTGAGAGTGACGATGTACAAGAACCTACGAATGTAACTGAGACTGAGGACGCTGCTGCAGGAGAGGCAGAAACATCCCAGTTCATTTGTTCAGACTGTGGCAAGAGCTTCACAAACGATGCCTCTCTGAAAAAGCATAAGGCATATGTCCATCAGAGGTTACGTCCGTACGTCTGCACTGTGTGTCACAAGTGTTTTGGCCAGTACAACGACCTGACCAGGCACCTGCGGCACCACCAGAAACATGGCAAGATGGGAGAAAAACTCAATGAGGCTCCGAAGGAACCTACCAACATGCCCTTTAGCTGTGCTGAGTGTTCACTTACGTTTCCTTCAGTGGAGGCTGTTCAGCAGCACATAACTGAGCATCACTCAAAGGAGACAACAGTGGACAATCAGGAAGCTGATCCAGTGCTCTGTGGTGATCAGAGCAATGATCCAGATTACAGTCCACAACCCTCGATGGCTGAAACAGTTGAATCTGCTCAAAAACGTCAAAGGCCTCAGCGGGTTGGTGCTGGATCTAAAATTTCTGCCATAACCAAGCTCATAGCTCCAAAACGGAGGGCAGCCATCTGCAAGAAGCCGCTTAGGAGCTCCACTGAACCGGAGGCGCCCGCAGTCAGAAATGCCAAGTTCAAAAAATACAAATGGTTCAGCTGTAAACGCTGTAAACGAACATACGGAAACCCAGACGATCTCAAAGTACACAAGTGCACCTCGAAACAGCTGGAGTGTGGTCAGTGTGGGGCGACCTTTAATAAGTCGGGCTTCCTGAAGAGACACGAGCAGATGGTGCACGTAAATGCAAAGTCTTGCAGCTGTGAGCGTTGTGGTAAAGTCTTCACTACATCTGGGAACCTGAAAAAGCATCAGAAGAGCAACACGTGCATGAAGTATCACTGCACGTCAGAGCCTTTCCCATGCTCGTACTGTCAGTTCTCCTTCACTATGAAGAGCTACCTTATTAAACACATCAAGAGGCACCACCCGGTGGAGTATCTGTCACACTGTGATTCAGACAGCCTGGTGGATCAGCTGGAAGAAGAGGAAGAGGAGGGGGCCAAAGAATATGTATGCCCCCACTGTGGGAAGACTTGTGCGAATGCTAAATCTTTAAAAGCTCACGCGTGCTTCCAGCAGGTGAAGGTGCTGTACTTGTGCACCGACTGCGGGAAGGGCTTCACGAACCACTACGGCCTCAAGCAGCATCAGCGCATTCACACGGGCGAGAAGCCGTACAGCTGCCCCCACTGCAGCAAAAGCTTCTCCTACACCGGCCAGCTCAACGTGCACCTCAGGACTCACACTGGTGAGAAGCCGTACCTGTGCACCCACTGTGGGGAGAGCTTCCGGCAGTCGGGAGACCTGAAGCGACACGAGAGGAAGCACACGGGGGTCAGGCCCTACAGCTGCCCTGAGTGCTGTAAAAGCTTCAGCCGGCCGCAGAGTCTGAAAGCGCACCAAATGCTTCACCTGGGACAGAGAATGTTCAAATGCACCCAGTGCGGGAAGAGCTTTTCCCGAAACTATCATCTCAGGAGGCACCATCAGAAGATGCACTTGTAGTCACATTGTTAGGACTTGGAAAGGCTATAGAAGAGCTTGAATTGATGCCAGTGTAAACTTAATTGCACTAAATGGTCAAGTACTTCATCACTGTGCACTTCGAATGTTGCAGAGAATTTTTGAATGTCCTTTACACAGCATTATTTAAAGTTATATTTAAGTTTGTTTAAAGCATTTCACAACCCAAAGATTGGAACTTTATGTGTAGAATAATACATTTTTGTTACAGGGTATGTGTTTTTGTTTTCAACCTGGACCCTATTTCCCCATGTTTTTGTGTCTAAACGACTAGTGGATAAAATTTTTTTTGGAAGTGGTTCAGTGTTTAGGGAGTGTGCTGCAGCTAGCAGAGACAAACAGGTTGCAGTGTTAACACTCGTGGCATCTGGCACTGTCAATTTATGTCCACTCAAGGTGCTTTTTTGCCACTGACAGGCTCAGATGATTATTCTAAGTGTCTGTTGAAAGATCCCCACAGAGACAGACCTTTTTGGTTATGAGTAAATCCGTTTTTGTTTAACCAGAAACAGCCCTGATCCCCATCACCATCCACCAGACTCCATTCAAATTAACAGTAGTTTTAGCGTATATAGAGCCAGTGTATTTTTTACTTCTGACTGGGTGAATTAAGGGTTTATTTCAAACCAGAGTTGGTGATTGTTAGAAGAGTGGAAAGACAAATCATAAGGGTTTTTGTGAGTTTTATTTAATTTCTGTCGACTGTGAATGAAGTGTGTTTTATTTTAAAATTACTGTTTATTTAAATGGAGTCTGGTGAGTTTGGCGATAGAGATTTCAGGGCTGTTTCTGATTAAAAAGTGGCTATGTTCAGACTGCAGGTAAATCACTTTTGTTTCTCAAATCAGATCACAGAAGCATGAGAAATGGAGGTCTATCATTTCGCACTTCAAACAATTTATTTTGTTGCTCCTCATGTTGTCCTCCTTAGTGCTCTCCTACCTGTTTTCCACCAGCATGGAACTGGTTTTGTTCCGTCTCCCGCACGTAATCTTGAACCATTCAGAGCATTTCGTTTAGAAGTAAGTTGGTTCAGAGCCTGAAAAAGTTTGTTCTCAACTGGAACCAAGAAATAGCAGGTTTTTCCTTGACCTGGAGTGGCAGCTGTGACAACGTCAGTGGGCGTGTTATATTCGACAGGTTGGAGAGAGAGGATGGAGAAGGCAACAATGGGAAAGTCAAGTGAGAAATCTTTGGGAAAAAAAGATCATGCGGTGGTCTCATTGAAGATGCACAATTGCCCATTAACATTTCATTGCAGCCTGTTTGCTGCTGCAGCCCAGTACTGGGCCAAAATTGTTGTCTCCTTAATCATTTAAGCCCTGTTTCCACCAAGCAGTACAGTACGATACAGTTCAGTTCGGTACGCTTTTTGTCCGTTTCCACTGTGAAAAGTTGTGGATGGTACCAATGGAACCGTTCCATACCATCCCCTTGTTTGGTCCCCCCTCTGTTGGGGTACCTAGCACACAGATCTGGTACTAAAAGGTGGAGCTGTGAACACTGCAGTCTGATTGGTCAATAGAGGACGGTCAATATATTAATTTTGACCTGACAGTCCTCACTCGGAGAAAGAAAAAGGTGTTACAGAGTGTCGTTCCTGTGGGCTCCAGCAACACTAAACCCCTGAGCTTGCCTGAGAAGGACAAAATGCACAAACCTGCTATTTTTAAATATCCCATGGAGAGAGACTCTCACTGCAGCCTGTTCTGATTTGAAAATGTCAGCGTGCAGCCTCGTTCTGTGGACAATAAACGAGGTGCAGACTGATAAAGGAGGAAATACAGTGAGTGCTGGATGGAGCAGTGAGTGACAACAACCCCGCCCACATTTAAGAGGACTGTTTGCGGTGGAAACACTAGGGTCTAGGTACCATGTCTGAAGGGTTACTGTTGGTTCCAAAGGTACCATACTTAAAGTGTTTGGTGGAAACAGGGCTTAAGACACAAAAACATTTGAAAAAAGGGTCCAGGTTTGAAATACCAAACTTACCCTTTACATTTGTTAAAAGCTGAAGCATTCATCACCAAAAGATTGGAGTTTTGTGTTTAGGAATATACATTTTTGTTAATTCAAAGCAGCAGAAATAATCAAACACATCATTCATTGCAGTCAACAACAAAGTAAAAGAGCTCACCATCACATAAACAGATGCTTACTGTTGAAATAAAAAAAAAACACCAACTTGACTTCACTGTTGACCATTTATTCCACAAAACATACAATGCAAAGCATGTGCACTGTACAAGCCTTAACATTATGAAAATACTCATAACATGCCTGTTTTTTTTTTCAATTCATTAATCTTAATTTTGTTCTTGTAGTCACCCAGATCTACGTTTCTTTTTTAATGACACAGTATAACTTGTCTATTGAACGTTGCTTTTTGCATTGCTTTTGTCAGTTTTTGTCCTTGTTAGCTCATATTTCCACCTTGACTATATTATAAATATTAAGTAAAATTAAAATATTTCAGTCTTACCTGAACTATACAAACATACTGGTATGACAGTTGACACAAGTAGACTCAATTTCATTGTTAAACTGTGCGTAAATTGAAACAGGTATAAAACCTGGCAGTGTTTTCCATGTGCTACACACAGCGGTGTCAAGTGCAGCTGCTGGTTCGAGACACGAGCTTTTAAAATCTGTAACTTTTGCTGCTGGTAACGGCTCCTTAAACATCCCAGTCCAGTAATGTTTCTTATATCAGTAGTCCTAACTAATACCAGTTACACAAGTCCTTGACAACATTCATTTTTAGGGGAGAAAGATCCATTTTTGTGGCACAGCAGTTGTGGAGGCTTGTTTCTGTGGTCCGAGGGGTTAAAACCGGAGGGTTGGACGCTCATTAATGAGTCTTAGTGTGTAAAAAATACACAAACACTTCTGAAAGGTAGGCAGCAGGTGGTTCTCAAGGTTAAGTGACAAGACCCCTACGAAGGTTGGGTTACTGTTTGTACAATTTCGAAGACACCTCAAACGCAGTTCCCATTTATTCCTCCGATCCAGTGAAGCACCTTGTCGATGTCTTCTCCAGTGCAATCTCCGTCCAATTTACACACCTTCATCACGTAAAATATACAACAACCCTCAATCTCATTAGTTTATATTATGTTAAATGTTATACACATATTAAAATTTTTTACAAACCAAACTGATTGTTAAACCACACAGTATCACATCTGTACAAAAAAAAGGTCACAAAACTAGGCGAAAGAAAGAAAGGGATTTGTTTTTTGGCAATTAAAAGCAACAGCCTGGTCTGTCACAAAACCACAAATTAAGGGGTTAAATACTGAATTCTGGAAATGAAAAAGGAACAGTATATCTAGAGCTCAACAGAGTCTGTAGTTGTGATAAAACCGATCGTCACGTTCCCGTAAATGTTAACAGAAAAACATGGTTAAAAAGGGGGTTAAGTGGCTGAACGCCTGAGGACACATATACAGTCTGCGACCAGAAACCAAGCTCAAGATGGTGACGAGAAATACCCTGCAGGTCATTGCGAGTACAATAACTAATACCTTCTCCTTCGTCTAGTCAAGTTCGGCTTTCTGAGATACGTTCACGGACAAAAGGCTTTTATAAAGGTTCAGATTTCAGCTCCTCCACCCTGCACTCCAGGTCGGCCACCTACAGAACACAGACAGAGAGGAAAAGGCTTAATTATGCTGCTTTTGTGCTTCACAGGAAGTCAGCAACATATATAGTAAGCTCCAGAATATCTGACTCCATTATCAAGAATTCAGGCATTCTTCAGGATACAAATGGTCTAGATTGTTTTGGTGTGAGCTGCTGAGTGTTGGAGATATCGGCTGTAGAGATGTCTGCCTTCTGTCCGGTATAATGGAACTAGATGGCACTCAGCTTGTGGTGCTCAAAGTGCCAAAAAATACTTTTGTAACAATCAACAGCAATGTCTCTTTCAGAAATCATGCCCTGGTTACTCAAGATAATCCACAGACCTTGTTAGAAGTTTCATGAAGGAACTATTGTCTTTCTACCAAACTACACCCACCAACATATCACTGCGCAGAGGGAAGGGTGCATCTACTCATGGATGAGAGGCTTGTGACAGCGGGACTTATTAACACTAATGGCGTCCTCTGCTGAGCTGTTACGTTAGCTAGCTCACCGGTGCTAGGTCCCAACTGGTGCAGCCGCAGGATCTAGATTTGTCCTGAGTCATTAGTTTGAGGTCCACAGTTTTTTGTTTTTCTTTAAAGATTATTTTTTGGGGTGACTTTTGCCTTTATTGATAGGACATCCAAGATAGGGAGGAAAGGTGGGAGGAAGAGGGGGGATGACACGCAACAAAGCCTGCGCCGCTGCAGAGGACTCAGCCTAGATGGGGTGCACAATTTACCAGGTGAGCTAGAGGTCGCCCCCGAAGTCCACACAGTTTAATATATTCCCCGTCATACTTTCGTTTGGCCATGTTGTCAAGCTAGTTTGCTGTCTCTGACAAGTAGCTGTCCATTGGTAGCTGAGCAGGAAACAGCACTTCAGGATAAAAGCTCTGTGCCTGAAATTCAAAGTATTTCAAAATAAAGTGTCTTCTTTACTAACTTGACACATTCCCAAGTCACTTGTAGCCCATTCAGAATGGACCTGCCACCCACCAGTTGGGAACCACTGCTGTAGATGAGTGCTTCTCTCTGCGCTGTGATACAGGTGGAGGTGTAGTTCCAGTTCTGTAGAATATAGTTCCTACATTAAACTGCTCACAACAAGGTCTGTGGATTATCTTGAGTAATCGGGTCATGATTTCTGGAAAGAGACATTTTCGGCAGGAGGAACTTTGTCATAGTTCTAAGAGATCGAGGAATGAACTTAGTTCTTAGAACACAGTTCAGATTGACTTTTTTAGCTCCTGTTTTAGATTAGATAAGCTCTCCTCACCATGGATGCATGATGAGAACTCTGTAGCTGTTGCTGGGTCTCGTGTGTGACAAAGAACTGATGAGGAGAGACTTGTTGAGGTCGAGAAATATCCAGAGCTAAACGACCCAAGATACCGTCATTATTAAGACCATGGCCAAAAAGATATTGCCTGGTGAGTCGTAGCTCTGGAGATCGGCTCCTCAGTTGAGAAATCACATTTAAGTCGGGGCTCTCCACACATAATTTTAAGCAAACGCAGAGGTGGAAGAGGTTCAGATCTTTCAGTAGAAGTAGTAATACCTTCATGTGGTCGTCTGTTGACGAGCTGCAGTGCGACGCCTCCAGTGTGTGCTGTGTGGCCACGATGGCGCCAGTATGTTTTCAGCTTTAGTGAGTCCCCAGAATTGTTCAATCTGAGAACGCTTATTGCTGTTGAGTTTTTCAAATGTAGTTTTTTGGCACTCTGGGCACAAGCTGAGTGCTGCTAGAATCACTCTGGATGGTAGTTCCATCATATTGGAAAGAAGGCAGACATCTCTACAGCCGATATCTCCAACACTCTGTAACTCATGCCAGAATAATCTAGACTGATAAATAGCACTACAGGTAAGACGAAAAATGTATTTTGATTTTGGGGTGAACTTTCCCTTTAAAAATATACATATGTTTCTTAAATTGTTGGCAAGGAACATATTTACATTTCGTTCAGATAGTATCACCCTCATGCTGCAGTGTGAGTCACATTGGGCTTTTTTTAACACAACATACAGTCTAAATGTGGTCCTCTGAGGTTTTGTTGCTACATGAAGAGCTTTCACCTCATAGAAATGTGTGGTATGGTTTGTATAAAGGCCACAAGACTCACTGAAGCAGTTTTGAGACCAATTGTTCTCATGAGTGCTGTAAAAAAAAAAAAAAAAAGCTTAGCAGAGCATCAAACTGCAACTAAGAAGCCAATTAAAAGTTTCTTTGCAGGATCCATTACAAAACTCCTTAATCAGTCAAAAACACTGTAAGCTACTTCTTTTAGCACTAAATATGCATGGGCTGAACAATACCAAAATGTCACTACTAATATTCTTGTCTTGTTTCTAGCCCCCCTCCATGTACCTGCTCTTGGAGTTGCCCCGACTCCTCCTTCAGAAGAGAGGCCTCCGCTCCAACTTGTGCACAACGCTGGGTCTCCTTCTTCAGGTACTCAATCTCCCTGTTAAAGGAAGCACATCAGTGTCAGATTGTCTAATGGGATAGCTTGGATGTTTCGAAGTGGGGTTGTATGAGGTACTTGAGCTTACTTCTGCTGATACTCCTTGATCAGGCGTTTGGCTTTGCTGTACTTGCGCTCCAGGGCCTGATACTGGGACTGCGTCTCCTTCAGGTGCTCGTCCACCGCCTGGCACAGACTCTGAGCCTCCATCCAGTAGCCCTCCAGCTTCTCCATACGCTCCTTGTTCTCCTGTAGGGTCTGCTCCAGCTGGGCCTTATCCATACGCCAGCGCTGCTTCTCCTGCTCCGCGTGGTGCAGCTGGAGAAACAGGTGAAGCCTCCATCTCAATCACAAGCTAATGTTATCTCTGATCCTTAAAATGATCAGTGCTTCTGTTCATCCTATGGGATTAGGATTGACTATAATCATAATTTATCAGCCTACCTTTCTCTTCAGCTGCTGGATCTCGGCCTGGGTCACAGCGTGCTTTATTTGGAGCTTTATAACAAAGACAGATGACAGTTTAAATACATGTGTTAAAATCGGGCCCATCAGAGGAAACAAGATGTGATTACACGGAAAATGTCCCAATTAAAGACGTTC